CCAATGTTATCATCTTATGTTCCCTTCGAAGTCCCAAAACTTTTGTCTGAAACATTTTTCTCTAAAATGCACTGTTTATGAGATATTTGAGGTGATCGATTAAAATGGGACACTCTGTATATAAATATTTTATTTTTAAGTTTCAGTCGTCTAGCTCAACAGAACTCACAATCAAAGAACAGCTGAAAAATGGAGCACAACCTATTGAAGAGGATTTTGACACTTGCCTAACTGAAAATGATTTGACTCGAGGTAAATTATACGACTCGCGTAAAGTATCCACGGGGCGGTCTCAGTGTCATACTTGACACCGAGACACTACCGTGTCTACTAATTTACTTTCCATTTACACCAAAACTCACAAAGATCTCATTTGTGACGTCATAATTCAACTAAATGTACATTCTTTTTTATTATAATAATGAGATTCAACTGAGTTTTTACTTATAATATGCATAAGCTCGAGACTGTGTAGTTTATTGCATCTTTTGTTAATTCACATTGAAAGTGAGGTATATATAAATCTATGTTTTATGCAATAATTTTGCTACAAAGGAAACAAATAATGACGTCATTATCTGAGTATAAAATACGCACATAACTTTCGACTCAGTATCATTTATGTGAAAATGAAAAGCAACTTATAATTAGGTACATTATTGCAAGTTTCTTGTGTTTCTCATCTAAATCTTTCCTTGGTTTTGAATATTTATGCTTTTCCAGATTTAACTGGGCATTTTCTTTACAATTTTGATATGTTTTATTTAAGTTAACATTTTTACAAAAAACAAATTTTTTCTTGAATTAATCGAGGTTATTTCTTAGATGACTTTTACAAAGAGGAAGACATAATGACTAACGTACATACTAAATCTGAAAATGAAGAAAAAACAAGAAAAATTGGTTGCTGGATTGCTTGTGTTTTGAAGAAACAGAATTTAGTAAGTTCATTTTAAATATCCTGTTAAATAAGTATTTTATACATAATGTTCAACAACATAAGATTAATCTGATCTAATAAATTTAAAATTTTTTAATTTTTTTAAGACTTAACCCGTAAAGGACACCTCAGTGCGAATTCGCACCCACAAAATTTTCAACTTGTAGGCATTTGCCGAAATGATTTTGCTTAACACGCAATTTTGAAAACAAATACGTTATTTTTTCGAAAATTTAATATCACCAATCGATTGGTCAGA